CAGTTATAAAACAACAGACCACATGTTTCCAGGATGCTGGTCGCTCCATGTGCCTCCCCACACCTGTCTCCCCCTGGAGCTCTGGCACAGCGTCCGCGCTGCGGATTGCACCCTGCCGCGTGTTAATAAGTGTCCAAGCGCTGCAGAAGGTGGAATGACGCGAACGTGGGCAAACCAACAACAAGCACAGGCGCCTTTGTTTAGAGAGAGAGAGAGGGAGGTTCACAATAACTCTTTTGGGGCAATGTTTCCAGCCTTGTTGCCCGGAATCCTCAGGCGATGGAGTGTGTTCTTCACCCTCCCCGCCCCCTTCACCGGGCGCACGATATGCTGTTGTATTATTTCCAGTTTTCAAGGAAGATTGTTTCTGGATACAGAATTTAGTGACTGAAAAAACATTTCATGTACACTGACTTGGTCACATCCCTACTTTCGTTGGCTTCAGACCTAAGACAAAGTCCTCCATTCTCAGGCTCTTCCTTCAGGTAACGGTTTTCAAAGAGGGCGCATGTTGGCAGCCCTGGCCCAGCTGGGCTGTCCTCTAGTCATCCCACGAGGCTGGGGAGCCGGAACACGTGACGCACACGCTTTGCTTCGCGGAACCCTGCAGAGAACACCGCAGTTTCTTCTCCATTTAAGCTTTCAGAGTGAAAGTCCGAAAGCAGCCAGATTTTTGTCATTTTCTTCAGGTCATCTGTTTCTTCTGCTTATACACTTGTGAAAGGTTCGTTTGTTTTTTTCTTTCTCATAGCCTTATAAATGAAAATTGTTGCAGGATACCAACAAAACAAACAAAACAAAACAAAACAGCCAGAGATAAGCGAGCCCCACGTGCATGCAGGCTTGCTCGGGCCTCCACCTCCCCGGAAAGGTAGATTTCATCTCCGGCTTGGGCTTTTTCTTTTTAGAGGAACAACATATGTCACCGGAGACGTCTTTTGACACGACAGTCCTGGGAATAATTAGATACGTAAAGCACAAGGAGAGCCGAGTGTTCCCGGGTCTATTCTGAGCAGTGATTATTCAACCGCCGTGCCAGTCAAATGTCGCCGGTGTGTGGCGGGGAAGGACTTGCTCGCCGGTCTCCTCCGAAGTGCTCGGAGCATTTGAACTCTCTGTGTTGGACTGTGTGTGGCGGGTCGCTCCGAAATGAAACAGGCTCGAAGTCTTTATCTTGAAAAGCCCGAATGATGCTCATCACAGCAGCTGGAACGTTCTCCTCTCAGAACCCAATGGGCACGGTCCTCCTCGGGGAATAAATGTCAGGGAAGCGCTCGTTTCTTCTTCCTTCCTTCCTTCCTTCCTTCCTTCCTTCCTTCCTTCCTTCCTTCCTTCCTTCCTTCCTTCCTTCCTCCGGCCCTCCCTTCCTTCCTTTCTTGATTTGAGAGAGAGAAAGAGGAAGGGAGAGAGAGAGAGATAGAAACATGGATGAGAGAGAACACAGATTGGCCGCCTCCTAGATGCCCCCCACTGGGGATCAGGCCCACACCCGGGGCATGTGCCCTGACCGGGAATCAAACTGGCGACCTCTTGGTGCACGGGTTGATGCTCAACCACTGAGCCACACAGGCCAGGCAGGGAAGCGCTCATTTCTATAAAGTGACAGCTTGCAAGAAGATGTCCAAAGAGCATCCACTTTGATTGTTCCGAGTGCAACAGAGGAAGTCCAAGAAGGTTTTTCTCTCCCGGAGAATTTATTGCCAATAATTCGCATGAGCTGCTTTGCATGTGGTCCCCTACTGAATGCACCAGCTCAATGCCTGAAGACATTACAAGGCCACTGAGAAGGGGAAAGGACTCTGTCGAGGGGTGGTGCTGGTGGGTGTGTGGAGGGATTGGAGGTCTGCCCGCCTCTTCCAGTGGGCTGTAGAAAATCCCCTCCCATGAGATTCCTGCCCCTGCCGTGGGCCACTGTTCTCCCATCTTCAAAAGAACAGACTGGACTACATTACCTTTTCCCTTTTTTATTTTACCTGAATTTCCTTTGCAGCGAAATTCACATAACATAAAATGAGCCACTTTACGGCGTACGAGTCGGCGGCATTGAGTACATTCACAATGCATCACCGCCACCTCTGTACTTCCGGAACGTTTCATCACCCCCGAAGGAGACCCCCTCCCCATTAAGCTGGATTGACATACTCTTTTAAGGACCCTTTTCGATGATATAATTCTGTGGCTCCAAAATAAGAAATAGACTCGTTCAGCTCCGCAAAATCCCTTCCAGACTGCAAAGACATGAAGATTACCCCATAAGTGCGGAACATCTAAATATTTGTCCCTAACAAACACAGTGGCGGTGGACGACCTGGGTGGCTGGGGGGCAAATGATTCCTTGGCCGATCACTGCACAGCTCAGTGTGCTGGAAATTTCCACCGTGCGGCCAGCTGAGTGCTCTCCCTGGCAGCGGACACCTTTGGCTCTGGGACAAGAGATGGGATTTACACTGTTAGTCCTTATCGCGTTCTGGAAAACCACTGTCCCTTCTGTCGTCACCAGAAAAGGGCCATGTTTTTCTATGCATTCAGATTCCTGAACAGAGGGGCATTTTGGGGGTCACCCCCTGGGTGGAGTGAGCCTATCCCATCACTCTCTGGTCTCCGCGGCCCCACCTCCCCAAGGCAAGAGTGTGGATGTCCAACGTTTTCAGGCTGTGAAAGTCCTCGTTCAAGATCCAATGTGAAGCCTAATACATACCCCAGGGGAGGTCAGGGGTGCTGCGGGTGAGGAGGGCTTGGAGTCCATCCTCCCTCCTCTGTGAGGGTGCTCAGTGGGCTCCCCTCTGTTCCCTCAGGCACAGTAGGGAAACCACCCATCTTGACTCTACAGGAACTTCAGGCGCTGGTGTTGATCTCTTCACCATCTGCAGACTTCCCTTCACCATCTGTGAACTTCTGCTGTTTTATTGGCCACCAGGTCACCAAGAAACATCAATGTATGTCACAATCCAACATCCCCCGAATCCTCGGTGAGACCCCTTCCAAGTTCACGGCTCTGTTCCCCATTGCTCACGGGGAACACAGCCGGTCCCCACCCCCACACCTCACCTGCTCACACCTTTGCAATCTCAGCCGGCCCGCCCGTCTCAGGCCGCCTCCTGACTGCTCCGTGCGGTGTGGCCATGAACAGATTAGCTGCAGGGAGGTGGTGACTCACCGCTCCTACCTGGGACCTGAACTTGCCGTTTCTCTCACGGAAGACTCGGGGCAGAAACACCTTGAAGTGATGAGTAGTGTTTGGAGCTGCAAATGAGCTCTGGTTTCGCGGTTTTGTTTCCAGTCTCTGTGCCCTCGGAGGGGCTCCAGCCTGTCGGCTTCGGACCTCTCTGCCCGTCCGGTGGGATGACCCTCGCCGGTGTGAATGCGGGCGTTGTGTCTGTGTGGTCGTGCACCGGGCTGGCTAATTTCACTGACGTCGCGTGCCAAGAAAGTCCCTCGGCGGTGGAGCACGGACACATCATGGCTGAATTTAGACAGGACACTAACGCCACGGATGATGAATCCTGGTGACCTGCACGGGAAACCATTCAAAACGAAAACCGCTCACATTGTATTGATACTGAAAGATTCACCTGGTTGAATAAAAATCGAAACCAGTGAAACACAGCAGTGGGTGCGTCGTTCTGGTGGAGGTGGTCACGTGTGCGCCCCATGTTGCAGTGAGAAGGGATCTCTCCGGGGCAGGCCCCCGAGCGCGCCGGTCTGTGATGGCCATTCCCAGGGCCGTGCGCCACCGAGGCACGGCCACCGGCCACCGTCAGGGCCTGATCTCAGTGCACACCCTGGGGAGGCAGGCGAGTCCCTGCCCGGCCTCCCTGGAGGGAGGGGGCTGCCCTGAGCCACCGGGCTGGCTGTGGGGAGTCGGGGCCTGCCCCCCTCTCCTGACTTCTCACCCAATGCTCTCGAAACACCAGCAGCTGCTCCATGGCTCATTAAATTGGACTGAAAGTCCGATGGCTTGCAAAGCACATTTTTCTAAAGAGCTGTTGTAAAGGTCTCGTTGCTCAAGGGTGAACTCCCAGAACCGCCAGGCCCCCTGCCCGCTCTCCCCCGCTCCTCCCCACCCCTTCCCCGCTGCTGGGACTTTGCAAGGGCAAGTGATAGTGACTCCAGGAGTGGCTGCCCCCAGAGCTACCTGGAGAATGCACGGAAGGTTCCAGAAGAGGCAATGGCACCTCACAGGTGTAGCGCCCCAGACGCTTGCTCGTCCTCTAGCCCTCCCTCTGCTGCCCACCAGCTGGGAGCTGGGAGTAACCGACTGAGGCCTCTCTGTGCCTCAGTTTCCTTGTCTGGACATAGGGTTGTTCATGGCTCCACCGCAGGGGCCGGTCGTGATGCAAGGCCCTTCGGGTAATGCTCCTCTTTCAGTCATTCTGTGCCTACCATATGCCAGGAACCGTACCTACAGACATGAACAAAATAGGCAGAAACCCCTGCCCTTACATTTGGGGGGGCACAGTGGACATTCAATGGGGTTACTAACCCCCAGTTAGATCAGACCTGTGCCCATAAGTCACCCGTTGGCCAGCCTTGGGCACAGCCTTCCAGGGGCCTCTGACACCTACCACCGTAATGTTCTGCCAACCAGCAGCCGTCAGTACACACCTTGTGCTGCCAGCTAGTGCCCTGGACACTCAGGGTCCAGGGGGTGGTCCTGCCCGCCGAGCCCGACCCTCCCACCTGCCAGCGGAAGGGCCATGTGTTTTGCATCAGAAGTGAACTGGGCCGAAGTTCAGTCACTCAGACGTTGTGTAAGGACTGCTGTGGCCAGTCAGGGAGTCCGAGGCTGCCTCGCGCTCCTCCGCAGCTGGCCGGCCAAGGGTCACCTCCCTGGGGTTGATTGCGGGGAGCAGTCCAAGTGTAACCGGCCGTGGCCGTGATCCAAAGACCTGCCCCTGACGTCAGAGACGAGCCTCTGGGGTGGGGCCAAGGGGCAGGACCTCTCTTCTCCAGGGCATTTAAGGCCCGCTGGCCCTGCCACCAAGCACCAGGCACGGCCTTCCCATTGGGAAAGCTCACCAGGGGAAGAACCCAAAGGCAAGCCTTGGGTCTCTAGCCGAGACTGCCCAGAGAGAAAGAAGGTACGTTGGGCTTTTGAATCTCCATGGCTGAAAATCACAGAGATAACGCAAACTCCCTTCCTTCTCCCTCCCAGCCTCGCCTTCCGCAGGTGCCCCGCCGGGCACCGCAAGGCGCGTCTGTCTTTGTTGATGCTCAGGGACCCCGCCCCGTGCTTTCTATTTCAGGCGACCGTGGTGTCCGTGGCCCTCAGCACAACTCCGCAGAAATGCCTCCTCAGCTTCCCAACAGCCTCAACTTCTCGGTCAAGGTCATCCAGGGCACCCTGGACAGCCTGCCCCAGGCGGTGCGAGAGTTCGTGGAGAGCAATGCCAAGCTGTGCCAGCCCGAAAGCATCCACATCTGTGACGGCTCCGAGGAGGAGAACCGGCGGCTGCTGCATCAAATGGAGGAGCAGGGGACCATCAGGAGGCTGAAGAAGTATGACAACTGGTGAGCGCAGCCCCTCCCGGCATTCGCACCCGCCTCCCGCCCTGCCAAGCTGGATTGGTGGACAGAGGCGGGTGAAGATGGGGCTGGGGGAGGGGCTGCACTCCTCTGAAAAACCGTGTAAAGGCCAGAACCATATAGACTTTAAGGTGATCACGTTTGCAGAGCCCAAGTCTTAAAGGAGAGAGCGCACAGACACAAACGCCCTTTGCAAACCAGATCTCGGATAAAAATGAAAGTGAGACTGTCCCTGTCCTCACAGACGAGCTCACGGTCTACTAGATGTCCCCTCGACCTTGTCCCGGCTGGGGTGGCTGTCCACATCTACGGAACATCGTCAGTGTGCCTGGCGCCCGCTAGGTGTGGGACAGACACAATAACAAGGAAATGGGTCCGTTCCTAAGTGATGCTCAGCCGGGAGGATCCAGCACACGGGTGCATTCAAAATAGCTGCTCTTCCCTCTCTGACCCTAACCCGTGTGCTTTCTATTCTTGCAGCTGGCTGGCTCTCACTGACCCCAGGGACGTGGCCAGAATCGAAAGCAAGACGGTCATCATTACCCAAGAGCAAAGAGACACCGTGCCCATCCCCAAAAGCGGCCTCAGCCAACTGGGTCGCTGGATGTCGGAGGAGGACTTTGAGAAAGCATTCAGTGCCCGATTTCCAGGGTGCATGAAAGGTAAATAAAACACCTATTTGATTGGGCAGAACATCCGCAAGTCTCGTATCCTTACGTCCGTCCTACTGGTCCTTGTAACCGTCACGGAAACTCCCGTGGCCTCAGAGATCTTTAAGTTCCGTCTGCGAAACTGGCTACGTATTGAAAAGGTACATCCCAGTTTGACTGACAAGCTGTCTCAGGAACAGGAAAACGGCTTCCACGCCTGGTGGAACCCAAAACGCACATCTATGACAGCGCCTCTGGGCATGCTGCTCGCTTCCCAGCAGGCTCTTGTGAAGTGGGCAGCCGGTGGCAAGCAGGGCGGGATGTGGGTGGTGGGTGACAGTGCCAGTTGCCTGTGAGTCCCCGGTCATTTCTCACCACTGACCGGTCCTGCAGGTCGCACCATGTACGTCATCCCGTTCAGCATGGGGCCGCTGGGCTCGCCTCTGGCCAAGATGGGCGTGGAGCTGACCGACTCGCCCTACGTGGTGGCCAGCATGCGCATCATGACGAGAATGGGGACACCTGTCCTGGAAGCCCTGGGCGACGGAGAATTCGTCAAGTGTCTCCATTCCGTGGGGTGCCCCTTGCCTCTAAAAAGTAAGCACGTTCTTTCAAAACCCAACGCTAGGATTTTTTGAAGTAAGCGTAGCCTTCCACCCCGGGCCTGTCCTCCGGGGGTCGCAGGCGGGGTCCAGCCACGCTAACGTGGGCTGTGCCCTCCTCTGCAGAGCCTTTGGTGAACAACTGGGCCTGCAACCCGGAGCTGACCCTCATTGCCCACCTGCCCGACCGCAGAGAGATCATCTCCTTCGGGAGCGGGTACGGCGGGAACTCGCTCCTCGGGAAGAAGTGCTTTGCCCTCAGGATGGCCAGCCGGCTGGCCAAGGAGGAGGGCTGGCTGGCCGAGCACATGCTGGTAAGACGGGGCATTCCGGGTGTGCGTGGCTGGGGGGCATTCCGGGTGTGCGTGGCTGGGGGGGGGAGGCATTCCGGGTGTGCGTGGCTGGGGGTGCATTCCGGGTGTGCGTGGCTGGGGGGGCATTCCGAGTGTGCGTGGCTGGGGGGGAGGCATTCCGGGTGTGCGTGGCTGGGGGGGCATTCCGGGTGTGCGTGGCTGGGGGGGCATTCCGAGTGTGCGTGGCTGGGGGTGCATTCCGAGTGTGCGTGGCTGGGGGGGCATTCCGAGTGTGCGTGGCTTGGGGTGGCGCTGCTGGCAAGTGCATATGGCATTCCAGTGCCCTTCAGGCAAGACCCAGGACACCCCAAGGACGGATTTGGAAATGCCATCAATGATTACGAGTGCATTTGGGGGTGCCCCTCTTGAAGGACTTCAAACACAACCAGACCCATAGAGATCCTTTGGACGTCATCATTCAAAATATTTGTCTTGCTACCTGAAGAAGTAGATGTTGAGGGTCCACCCTCGGGGGCTTGTGGGCACGCTCCGAGGGGGTGGTGACTGGGAAGGACAGGAGGGAAGGGCTCAAGGAAAACCTTGCCTCTGCAGATCCTGGGCATAACCAACCCCGAGGGCCAGAAGAAATACTTCGCGGCGGCCTTCCCCAGCGCCTGTGGGAAGACCAACCTGGCCATGATGAACCCCACGCTGCCCGGCTGGAAGATAGAGTGCGTGGGCGACGATATCGCCTGGATGAAGTTTGACCAGCAAGGTGACTCTCCGAGGCCCGGCTGTGGCTGATAGTGACCAGATCTCGGTGGACTTTGGCTTTTAAAACAGGCACAGTTCCCCTGAGGTCACACTGTTCGCACTTTGGCGTTAGTGATTCCGATCTCGCCGGGTCTTAGAAATCCGTGTCCCGTAGAAGGCGCTCTCTCGCGTGCCAGCAAATCCGGCTCGAAAGGGAACCGTGTGGCCGTTAGTTCGCACACGGCCTACGTTAAAATAGAGTGGGTGCGAAGCTGACGAGGAAGGAAGAGCTGTCATTGTTACTGCTTGGATAAAAAAAAGAGAGAGAAAGAGAAATATATTCTAAGGAGGAGAGGAAAAAAAAAAGTCTTAGAATTTGGTACAAAAAGGAGGTGTACTGTGCTCGGCACTCACTTCGACTTCCCCGGTTTAAAACTGTCCAGGTAACCTGAGGGCTATCAACCCCGAAAACGGATTCTTCGGAGTTGCGCCGGGAACCTCTGTGAAGACTAACCCCAACGCCATCCAGACCATCCAGAAGAACACCATCTTCACCAACGTGGCCGAGACCAGTGACGGCGGCGTTTACTGGGAGGGCATCGACCAGCCGCTGGCCCCTGGGGTCAGGCTGACCTCGTGGAAGAACAAGGAATGGAGCCCTGAGGATGGTGAGCCCCCCGGAGGCCCTGCGGCTGCAGCTCTGGGTGCTCCGTGTTTGGGCTGGCTGCTCACCCACCTCTGTTTTCTGTCTGTCGTAGGGGAACCATGTGCCCATCCCAACTCGCGGTTCTGCACCCCCGCCAGCCAGTGCCCCATCATCGACCCTGCCTGGGAGGCTCCCGAGGGCGTGCCCATTGAGGGCATCATCTTTGGAGGGCGCAGACCTGCTGGTGAGACTCCCTTCCACCCTTTGGGAGGGTCTGAAGTTGCTCCTTTTCCATGACCTTGTCGGAGGGTGCCAGCCATCTGAGCTGCCTTTGCAAGCATCGGGGGTCATTGGCGGGCTCAAATGTCACAGCTCCCCCTTCTGGCCGCCCAGAGCCTGTCTGGATCCTCAGTCTAATGCTGCTTGATCCATTTTCCTTTTGGCTGTGTGGCCTGGGCGGCACACCTGGCAGTCTCCCGCCCTTTGGCTCTGGGAATGCAGAGTGAGCGGAATTTAGAAGGCGCAGTTCTTTTCAAAGGAAAGATGTGAGATGACCCTGCGGCCAAAGGGTCTGCGCTCCAGACCTTTAAGGAACATCTTTTCTTTCCTGCTAAAGGTGTCCCTCTCGTCTACGAAGCTCTCAACTGGCAGCATGGGGTGTTTGTGGGGGCGTCCATGAGATCCGAGGCCACGGCGGCTGCAGAACACAAAGGTAAACCCAAGTCAAGGTCCGCAGCCCACAGAGGGTGACTGGTGTGCTGTGTGCCTCAGGGTCGGCTTGTCTTCCTGCCCGGGTCTCTCCTGTTTCTGTCTGTCTCTCTCTGTCTGTCTCTCTGTCTCTGTGTCTCTCCTGTTTCTGTCTGTCTCTCTGTCTGTCTCTCTGTCTCTGTGTCTCTCTTGTTTCTGTCTGTCTCTCTGTCTCTCTTTCTATCTGTGTCTCTCCTATCTCTGTCTGTCTCTATGTCTGTGTCTCTCTGCCTCTGTCTCTGTCTCTCTGTCTCTCCTGTTTCTGTCTCTCTGTCTTCTCTCTGTCTCTGACTCTCTTGTCTCTGTCTCTATGTCTGTGTCTCTCTGTCTCTCCTGTCTCTGTCTCTCTGTCTGTGTCTCTCGGTCTCTGTCTCTCTGTCTCTGCTCTCTGTCTGTGTCTCTCGGTCTCTGTCTCTCTGTCTGTCTGTGCAGACAGGGAACCAAGCATGCCTGTGTTAACAATGGACATGTCAGCGCTGCCCAGTGAGAACTTACTTACCAGCAGAGCCCTCTGTGTTACAGGCAAAGTCATCATGCACGACCCCTTTGCCATGCGGCCCTTCTTTGGCTACAACTTCGGCAAATACCTGGCCCACTGGCTCAGCATGGCCCAGCGCCCCGCCGCCAAGCTGCCCAAAATCTTCCATGTCAACTGGTTCCGGAAGGACAAGGAAGGCAAGTTCCTCTGGCCCGGGTTTGGAGAGAACTCGCGGGTGCTGGAGTGGATGTTCAACCGCATCGACGGCAAGGGCGGCGCCAAGCTCACGGCCATCGGCTACATCCCCGAGGAGGGGGCCCTGAACCTAAAAGGCCTGGGGCAGGTGAACATGAAGGAGCTCTTTGACATCTCCAGAGAGTTCTGGGAGAAGGAGGTGCGGGAGGTGCAGACCTACCTGGAGGAGCAGGTGAACGCCGACCTCCCCTACGAAATCGAGAGGGAGCTCCAGGCTCTGAAGCAGAGAGTCAGCCAGATGTAAGCAGACCCAGAGCGCACCCCTCAAATCACCCCCTTTCCAGTCCGTGAGGTGTGCTGGGAGCACGAGAGAGTGAGTTTCCTGATGAGACCCCCTGCCACAGACAACGACCACACCGATGGGCATGTCCGACGGACACTTGAATCGTTCAGATGAGACCACAGGGTGGGGGCTAGTAGCTAACGAGGCTGGGAAGGGGAATCTTAGCACGTCTCCCAAATTCACAATCCCGGGCACATTTGTTCAATCTTAAGGACACTCAGGCGTATTGTCATTTTTCACTTTAGCTATGTCAGTTAACTGGAATGCACAGAAGACAAAAATACTTGAGCTGTATTTATGAGTGTGTGTGTGATGTGAGTGTGTGCATGTGTGTGAATGTACTGTTATCTAAAATATATTTAATACCTTTGGAAAATTCTTGGGCAAGATTACCTACTAGTCGTTACTAGAAAGAAATGTCGCTTTATTATTAATATGTGTGTTTAAATTATTTTTATATACGTCGTTCCTTACCTTTGCATAATTTCACTTTCCCCCTGAACACTTCTTGGAAAATTACAAAATAAACTTTTCTAGGAAGACAGATTTGTTCGCTTGTTGTTTTTGTTTTTTTTTAATGTGAACCACCAAGAAGAGAGGGTTCAGATCTCAACTCCCCTCGAAAGAACGTGGGGTCATTAGGATCACTCATAAAGAGGGGTGATTTGGCCCGGCCAGTGTGGCTCAGTGGCTGAGCGTCGACCTTGCACCAAGAGGTCGCCGGTTCTATTCCCGGTCAGGGCACATGCCCAGGCTGTGGGTCCAATCGCCAGTGAGGGGCATGTAGGAGGCGGCCAATCGATGTTCTCACTCATCAATATTTCTATCTGTCTCCCTCTCCTTTCCTGTCTCTCTAAAATCCATGAAGGAAAAAAAAAAAGAGGGGTGATTTGGGGGATGGAGGGAGCAGAAAGGGGCCTGCTGGGAAGTAGGAGCAGAGGACGTCACCCGGAGGGGACATGGCACCACACTGTGGGTTTTCTGAATTCACTACTTCTATATTCTATACTCTGTAACGCTTTCAAGGTGGGTCCTGGGTCACTGGGACAGGAGAGCTTAAAATGTGCCTGGCGACAGCAGTCTGGGTCTGGGGGCTCGGCCTCCCACAAGAAGGCTGTTGTAGGCACTTTCACAGAGTGATGCGTCTCCCAACGCCGTCCCCCCGGAGGAGAGAGGAGAGAAAAGTGTCCTCCAGAAGGAGCAGCCAATGGGGGTCTCTCCCGGGAGCGAGCAGGAACCGAGCGCCTGGGTACCCGAGCACCGGTCAGCAGTGGACCCCTGGTCCTGAGGCTCCCAGCACTTACCGGGCGTTGGGGAACAGTCCGGACAACCCCTGAACTTAACTGAGTACACTCCTTCTGTAGAAAGCATGACGTCCCTGGGTCCTCTCTTTTCTGGGCCCCGGCTGGTCACTCCTCGCCAGGTTAATCACGCCACGTGGCTTTCCTTGTGCCCCTAAGCGGCCTTGGCCCTGCAGCGGCTCCGCGTGGGAGGTGAATCAGAAACCACCCCGATTTTACAGATGGGGAAACCGAGGCTAGGAGTGTCTCCTGGGGCCGGGAAATAGCAGCCAGAGTTTTCTTTCCCTTTGAGGAGGGGAGAGCAGACTCCCAGACAGTGCCGTGTTCTAATACCAAGACCCCGGGGGGCAGGGGCAGAGCCACGGAATAGAATTAAGTGCTGTCCATTTAAATCTGGCTTCCAGACGGATTTCTATCTTTCTCTGCACCAGCCTTCGTTGGCATGGGCTCCAACTCAGCAACCAACCGTCTCAGGGAAGCAACACAGAAGGCAGCCTCCCGGAGGCCGTGCGGGGGAGTGGGGGACCGAGGCCATAGTTCCTCGGACCCCCGAGAGGGGCTTCCAGGACAGAGTTTGGGCACCACGGTTAAAAGGCACACCCGGGCCCATGTCCTAGTCTGAGCCCCAGCAGGGTTTTTCCCTTTGCAGGCGGAGCTGGCCAGCTCGGGATTATGTAGGCTTCCACCCAGCGTCACCCACTCACCCAGTAGCCTTTCGTACGATCATGTTGCCACCAGGCCTTAAAGACTGAAGGACAGCCTGGAGGAGGTGCCTTAAACAGAATAAGCATTTTCAAGGGACCAAACGGACTCCACACTTGCCACTGATTGGTCCCTGACTCAATTTCCCCAAACCGTGCCAGCGGAGTGTTTCGTTATCTGCAAGTCCTGGGCACTAGAACGCGTCCCTGTGATGCTGGTTTGCAGGGGACCATGCTAGGCCCTGGGAAGGTGAGGGGCTCACCTCTGGGAGAATGAAAACCCAGTGTCCTGGTTCCCGGTCAGTCCCCCACAGTGACCCCAAACCAACACCGAGCCTGACGTCTTCCGTGGGGATCGGCCCAGGCGCGGCCCCTGACCTCCATGCGTTCCTGGAACCCTGCTGGGGTCTGGGCTAAAGGCCAGAGTGCGGTAGGCACACAGCAAATATTGACCCAGGACAACAAACGGGCCCACTCTCTCTCTCTGGAGAGTTTGGCGGGTGGGTGGGAGTGGCGGGTCTCACGTACTTGGGAGTCAGGGGTGGCAGGACCCCCTCCCTTCTCTCCCTTGATCCTCATGCCCACCCTAACCCGAAGCCCTGGTCTGGGGGCCACACGTGTGTCCCTTCCGAGCTTTAAGGCCATGGGGCACGGGCCCTGGAGGCTCCCTGACCTGCCCTGCGGGGCCTGAGCCAGAGCGGTGGCCTCCGCTTTGCTATGCTGTCGTCAGCGGTGACAACAGGGAACCAGGTGAGGGAATCTGAGGGAAAGGTCTGGCCGCCTGCTCCCCCCCTGCTGCCCCCTTCCCTCCCCAGGGCGGCGGTAAACACTGGTGCCCTTGGACACAGTCTAGCGGTGCCTCTGGCCAGCCGTGTCACCCGGAGTGACACTCATGTGTGCCATCGGCCATGTCCTTGCTGGGAACGAGATGGAAGAGCCTAGCCCCGCAGAGACCCGGGTCTGCATGGGAGTCACCGTCCTCCCTCCTCCGGCCGTGGCGAATGCTCGGGCGACCGCACAGACCCAAGCCTCGGTTTCCCGGCTGCGGGATGGGTGCAGCAACCACGTTCCCAGGAGGGTCGCAGAAAGATGCAGGGAGATGATGCGCATGGAGACCGGACGCCCAGCGGGGCCCTGGGGACCGCGATTCTCTTTTCCTTCCCTCGGGGTCCTCCATGTAGCTGTGATGGTGCCACATTAGGGACAGGGACCCCGCCATCTCCCACGCAGCTGGCCCACGGCGACCAGCCCTGACTCGGGAGTGAAAAGCAGCTCATTGCAGGAAAAGTCCGGGGAGCGCTTCCCTCCGCGTGTGGCAGGCACCTCCCCGGGGGGCACCTTTGCTCTCCTCGAACACCCGAGCAAAACGCTTAGCGAAGGTCCAGCGCTCTCTTCAGGCTGCGAGTCCTGAGGGAGGGCCACGGACGTGCGCAGGGTTTAGCTGCAAGGATGCTCATCAGGGCCTTGTGTGTCATGGCCAAAACCCAGAAAGCAAGCTAAGTGCCCAACGACAGGGGTTTGCTGGAAGGAATCGCAGTCCCTCCCAGAACGGACGGCGGGAACCACTCTGAGAAGACACTTTATTGACTTGCCGGACGTGCCACCTGCCGCCCTGCGCGGAGGTCCATAGAGAAAAAGGGTCGCGTTTGCGCAGCACGAAGGTCCATAGAGAAAACGTACCCCGTATGTGCACCTCGGTGCCTAGGAAACACTGAAAAATACACCCTAACACGGTAACAGCTGGGATTGCAGGGAGGACAGGCCGTTCGTTTTAAAAGTTCTCCTTTGGCTTACCTGGACCTCTCACTTTTTCTACAAGGATTAGGTGTCGTTCGTGCGGCAGGAGCACGGAGCAGGTTAAAGGTGGTCATTTTGTAATGCTTGCAGGAGGGCTCCAGGGGCCTGTGCCAGGGGAGGGTGGGCAGCCCGGCCTGGGCCAAAGCTCCCATGCAGCTGGGTGGGCACATCGGTTGGTGAAGGTGGAGCCGCCAGAGCCCGGCTTGGGCTGGGGAGGCATCGCCATCATCTGTATTTTCACCACTTTGTTCAGACCCATAAATCGAGCTGCCCCCTCCCCGCCAGGGGCCATTCAGTGTGATGTCGGTGGAAGGGGGACGCCAGGACCGACCCTGGAGCCTGTCCTTGGTGTGGAACAGCCCTGTACACAGCCGTCCGAGACACCGGGCAGACGCCGGTCAGGTCCACACCTCCTGTGTGCCCAGCACATGGCGGGCCCTGGATGTCTCAGAAGGAATGCCATCTTCCCAGGAGAGGATGAGGCAGCTGAGGTTACCCCCATTGCACACTGATGAGGCTGGGCCCAGAGAAGTCGTGCTGCCCAGCTGAGCTCACCAGCCAGAGGGACAGGAAGCAGGGAGAGCTGTCAGGCTGGACCCCAGGCCCTGCCTCCGTCCACACCCCTCTTTGCATCTCTCCAGTGGTGGCCAGACCAAGGCCCAGCAGAGGGATGGGGTGGGATGCCCAGAGTATCTCCAAGAAGGGCCCCTCGGGTGGAGCCCTGGATGGGACAGGGCCGGCTTGACCATTTGGGCGGGGAGCCTGGCCTCTTCACAGTGCAGGCTCAGCCTCATGGCGCCTCGGCCATGCGCTGGGCGCAGAGAAACCACGTGACGGGTTCGGACCGAGAAGGTGTGAGCCGGCCCGCCCGAGGCCTCTGGGATCCGGTGGGGGAGGGGCACAGAAGAGCGGAACAGCCCTCACGTGAGCACGAGGGCACAGCCAGCCCGAGCGGGGTGGAGAGAGGACCAGCCTTCCTCTGCACTCAGGGCCAACGTTCACGTGGTGGGGCTGGAGGGGAGACGCTGAAACCACCCCGCCTCACTGCTGGACACCAGCTGCCCCAGTCTGCTGGATGCCCCGACGCATCCGCCTCCATCCCAGGTCCTTTCCTGGGACCCTCAGGCCTTCCCACCCAGCGGAGGGTCTCCGAAGCTGGCTCTGCATGGTCTCCGAGTGGTCACTGCCTCATGGGTTGTTAAATATTTTGAACGTCACTCCTGCCCACCCCAACGCCTTGATGTTACACCAGGCCCCTCCTTCATTGCACCCAGAACTTTGCTGCATACGGGGGAGCTTGGCAGGGGTACAGGATGCCCTCACCCCGAGGAAACTGGAGCAAGGGCCCTCGGTGGAATGAAATGGGGCTGGAGATGGAGACGAGGTTCAGAAAGAGGGAGATAAAGAATGTGACTTTCTCTGCTGTTCCGAAGTGTTGCCTTGGGTTTCCCCGCCGGCTCGCACGGGAAGCTGGGCCCGGCGGGGCCTGGGAGAGGTTCCGCCCGAGCTCTTGTTAAGGACCAGCTCCTGGGATGCAGCCCGGTGACAGGAAGACGAAGTCGGCGGGCCCAGGATGGACGGACGGGGATCTGATAGTCACAGAGCCGCTTCTTGCGTGACAGGCCGGGCCCAGAGGTTCCCCTGATGCTGCAGAGCTGGGACGCAGAAGGGAGCAGCGGGCATCATCGGTCCTCAGTGGCAGTGGGCGCAAGAGCACGCCTGCCTGGCTGCCACCTGCTAGCACCGT